TGTGAAATACCTTTCGAAAACTCATTCTTCTCCTCAAAGAATGGGTTTTCGTCCGTTGTAGGAATAATCCATCAATTCATCATCAAACAAATATGTCAACAAACGCCAACTCTAACCCAAACGATACCAATACGAACAATACCTCTGAGTCCTCCAACAACACCACCGATATACCACCCCTCCCTCAGCCTGCTCCAACTTATCTTACGTTCAAAGCTACCGAGCACTTTCTCAAATCTCACGGTAACGCCAATTGCTACCCAATCACCATAAATGACGGCCGACCTTCATTTACACAATGGAAATGCGGTCTTGGACCGAATCGGAAACACCTGCAAGCCAAGGCCCTAACCCCCGAGCTTACCATTCCCACCTGTCCATTTCAAGTCACCTCTAAGCGCAATGCAGACGACTGGACTTGGACCATCATAATCGAGAATCCTAACCACGATCATGGCCCCGTTGAAAACTTCAAACCCATGATTTTACCTGACCTAACGAACGATGCCTTTGTACCTAAGCCTAAAAAACGCAAACGAGTGGTTGTAGAATCGGCAACCCCCAATCACTCGACCTCCGATCCCACACCACCTTCAAATCCCACAAATCCCACACCTTCTCAGTTTCCCAAACGATTTCAAGCCTTATTTGACGATATGAAGACCCTTGACGAATCGGACAAGGACCTTCTCCTTGATCGATTCTTTTGTGAGTGTGAGGTAGTTAAGGCACTCAACAAGAAAGGTATAATAAGGAATGAAGTAAGATATTTCGATATGTTTGAAATCAATATCAAGACTCACAAATACTGACATTTTGTTGGTACAACAGCCACTTAACCCATCAAGTACAACTTCCCCAATCCGCCAGACCGACCTCATCAAAACCGGGCACACCTCTAAGCCTTCTTCTCACGAAGAAGAAACTGCTGAGCCGGATGAATCAGCTCAGCATAACAACGAACTCCCAGATATTGATCAAACTGGACAAGAGACTCCAAGTGTCGAGAATAATGAAGAGGATGAGGAGATCGCAGCTAGATTACGGGCATCAAAAAAAACTCGTCAAGTTTCGTCAAAATCACCTATCACAAAATCCACCAAAGAGATTATTCCTCATCAGCGAGCAACTCGTAGTGAGAGTAACAAAGATCCAATCCGATCGATACGTCAGTCTTCACGAAAGAATTCACACGGAACTGAACAGGTCAGTCTAGTTGCCTACTTATTTCAAATGTTCATCTTTGCTCTTTTGACTAATTCATTTCTTCACTTACTTCCTACTTAGAACGAAATCAGTCAAACATCTACTGTCAGTCTGTGGTGTATCTTAAATGTGAATTTCTCTTACTAATTACACAGCCTTCAACTCACTTACTAATTAGAAGGAACCGAACGCCAAGAGATCCAAGAAGAACAATAACAAGGTAAGCTCTCAATTATGTATTAGCTATCCACATCATTCTAGCTCATTCAAACATATCAAATGTATTAACTAGCCTCGGAAATCGATTGCTGCACCTTTAGGAACCAAGGATCCCAACAGCGACTGCATCCCGAAAGACATCGAGGAGATAGCTTTGGAAGTGAGTGCTGTTTATCTTTCTTTGATCATTGCATCACTTCTTACTAACAAATACATCAGCAATGGGATTTTGTAGCGACTCTTCCCAGGGTTCTTTACCCCTTCATTCGGAATGCAACCAATGTACCTGCGAAGGGTCTATGTACATTTGCCGCTGTAGCAGTATCCCTTGGGCGCCCCATCGAGGATGCTGTGGCTGTCCGAAAGGAGATGGCTGCACATATACATCTACATTGTGAATGGTACAAGAAGAATTTATCCAAACTAAGCCAAAGCAAGATAAGCCTCAATAGAATGCTCTCGATAGTGGAGCATCCAGGACAGACGAACGTACCTTGTTCTCATTGGTATCCACTTCCTGGTGGCTCTTGTGTGATCGCAAATACATATAATCAACCCGTTATCTTCTATTCGGATGTGCCGACGGGGTGTTCTACAACTCCTCCCCTTCTCTCGGCTCCTGGAGAAGTTGTCAAACCAATAATACTGGGTATGATTGACCGATGCCACTGCATATCTCTTGATCTCAATATATCTGCAACTCTACCAATTCCATTTTTTAATCCTGACTGGTCCCGATTACAAACACTTGAAGCCTCTGGATGGGATTCTTCTTTTGCTGAAAATATTGAAATCTTCAAAAAGTGGAGAAGAGACTGCAATTCAATCCATTCAGCGGATTGCCAGTGGGATAATCAAGTCTTGTAAACTGTTCCTTCTCCCCCCTATTGAAAATGTTCACCTCATCTCTTCTTGATTAATATAGTTTGTTTAATTGAATAATTGCTTTACAAAATTTGCTAATACGTAAGAAAAAAAATTATCTATATCATATAGACTAAGTGAGACTCTTTGGCCTGAAATGATAAGATATGTCATTGAATCTTATCAATTGAGTAAACCCTACCAGATGCCAACTTAAGGTGTTTGCATTGGTACAAACAATCAATCACATTTGTGATTGGTAATCACAAAAGCGTGATTGTGCATTTTTGGGAAGCACAAATGTGTGAATCACAACTGTGTGATTGTGATTCAATGGGAAATCACACAAGTGTAAGTTACAATTGCAAATAAAGTCCAAAATGTGTGATTCTCAAAATGAATCATGTGCTGTCACTTCCACAACACAACTTTGTGGTTGTCAATTTTACGGATGTGAGATTTTCAATCACAGATGTGTGATTCTCAGTCTCGAATGTTTGGGGTGTAAATTACAAATGTAGATTTTAAAGTCACAAAGATTTGATTCTCAGTCACAAAGGTGTGGTCCTCAATCACAAATGAGGATCGCACCCAAAAGGTGTAATTTACAATCACAACTTTGTTAATGTAAATTACAACTTTTAGGTGTGATTGAGAATCACAAAGATCACACTTGTGTGACCACAGATCACACAAGTGTGACATACATCACAACGCGTGTGACGTGTAATCACACAAGTGTGACAGCTTCATAGGTAACATGTTGTGGCGTTGGATAATTTTGTGTGCAGGTGTTACATGTGTTAATAATATGTTAATTCTATGTTTATGTGGTAATGATTTATAGGGGACATTGATATTTTCCATATAAGAACTTGTGTTATTATCGTTGTGAGGCCGACGCGTCGGCCGCGTCGGCATGTCGGAAGGGGGGGCTTCGGCTTGTCGCCGATAGGAATGACCCGGTTCCTATCGGCTAGTATCCGAAGGGGCGGGTAGCCACAGGTGGTCAGTATACATGACATGAGAAATTAAACCATTCAGCTAACAGTTGAATTTCATTTGAAAACGAGAACTGGAATTAGGGAAGTGAATTGAAAGGATTGTAAGGACAACTGACTTGTGGTCTTTCATCAAACATTAGTGATACAGCTTGTTCGTTCAGACTAGGGAGTAATCGGAAAAGATGTGAACGCAGGTGGATTCAATGATGTGATCAAAGGGACATGATGCATCTATCGTCTTTTCTGGACTAATGTGATTCCATGAGTTGATTGCTTGCAAAGAAATGACCAGTAACCAACCTTTGATGATGACCGACATGTGTCTTTGATTATGACCGACATGTGCCTTTGACCGTCAATAGTCTGAAATCAAGAAGAAATCGGAGTTCAGAAGGGAGTAAATGGGGAACTGAACACCGGATGTGTGGGGATCAGAGCGCTCTGGTGAGCATCAGAGCGCTCTGTAGACATCCGAAAGTGCTCTAAGTGCTCTGGATATGACACCGCACAGAGCGCTCTGAAGCCCTCAGAGCACTCTGGGGACTTGGTTTTTTTTAGTGAAGTTGAAATTCTTCAAAGTCAGCGTAAGGCAGGAGAAGGTGTACAGGACCCTGAAATGTGCCTACGGAGGTTACTGACGTAAATTCCGACCTTTTCGTGGTAAACTTTTTAAAAAATCCCGGATTCCGACCTTTTTGGTCAGTAACATCGTTTTTCTGGCGGGATCGGGCCTGATAGGGCACTGCTTCGCTTGTTGGATGGAATTGCAGCTGCAGCGCTATCGCAGCCGCTGAGACCCTCGCGCGACCAAAGACTTCTTTGGGATGTCTTCCAAGGACAGCTTGAGTTGCATTGGGTATCATCATTCCCAATACCCTGGATCACTTTGGTAATTGAGCCAAGTCGTTACAACCAATGAATCAGTAAAACTGAAACAAGGGCCCAGGTCAGTTTGAAATCACTTAGGATCTCTTGGCCACCCGTTTCAGCCTTTCTTTGATGTATAGTTTACATTCTTTTTATATAAAAGCTTTCCTTTTGTTACTCGATTGTGTAACTGGCACGTTATCTCTAATAAAAAGTGTTATCTAACCTTTTCAACCCTTTTTTATCTTTTTTAAACTCCAATCTTCTCGCAATTATACCATCTCATCATCCTATCATCCATGCTTTGTCTCTGCTTTGAAAGCTTTCCTTTAGTGCTTCAGCACGCCTAGGAAACCCTCTCATTAATATGTCACCTCTTTTTCAGAATCTTTCCTTTAGTGCTTCAGCACGCCTAGGAAACCTTTTGAATCTGTGACCTCTTCGCTGCTTTGGAATCTTTCCTTTAGTGCTTCAGCACGCCTAGGAAACCTTTTGAAGTTGTGACCCCTTCTCTGCTTCGGAATCTTTCCTTTAGTGCTTCAGCACGCTTAGGAAACCTTTTGAATCTATGATCTCTTTGCTGCTTTGGAATCTTTCCTTTAGTGCTTCAGCACGCCTAGGAAACTTTTTGAAATTGTGACCCCTTCTCTGCTTCGGAATCTTTCCTTTAGTGCTTCAGCACGCTTAGGAAACCTTTTGTTGTAGCTCACTTCACACATGCGTTTAGGCTCAGACAGGCCTTATGGCATTAGTTTTTCATTACCAGACCACATCAAACAAAACATGTAGATAAATCTTTTCGTTACTAAGTAAGCAACACATCATTTGGTTGCACAAATGCTATTCATCTTCTAATCCTTCAACTTGAGCGCCTTTCAGAGCTTTTATCTGGCTCTCAAATCCTTTGATAAAGGTCGAGGCATTGAGAGAAATCATAAAGCGACACAAAACAGAAGGTACAGAGTATCTACCTTCACCAATGTAAGAAAAGTTAGAGCTTCGCGAAGGTAGAAAGACATATACTATGTGAGATGCCTCCACGCGAGCAAAAGTCCACTTGTCTGGAGTCATTATCTCAGCTACTGTTGCTAATGGAAAATGTGGGTTATGCACGAGAACCTGGATTGAAACATATGAAAGTTCATCTCGAGTCTTGGCACTTTTGACCCAAGCGTGCTTCTTGTTTTTGTAAATATATACTGCCAAAGTCTTGCCTAGGTAAAGTCTCTGCCAGCCGCATAAAATGTCAGCGAAGTCGCGAAAATCTCTTTAATTCAATGAATGAAGTATCACTTACGCTGTTCTTGACAAACACTACAAACTTTCCACTCTCAATAGGATTGTTAGCGCTGATTCCACCCCCAGTGATAGAGTTTTCAAAAGGTATTTCAAGCTGAGTCGAAGTGTTTTGAATGTGCTTCAAGAGGTTCAGCTTTACATTGATGTTCCATCGGTGAATTCGTGAAAGACCAGTGGGTGTAGCTTCAGCATTCTTCATTACAACAGCAACCAGTTTACTGCACTCGCTGGGCTTCAGAGACTCTCCTGGTGACTTGCGCAAGTCATCTATGTTAATCTTGGCGCGTTCATTTCCTCTATGCTTTTGAACCTGACTCTCGTGGGCCAATCGTAGCTGAAGTAATTGGGGATGTTCCAAATTGATGCCATCTTGATTATTCAAGACAAATGTATCGATTTTGTGATCAATTCCAGCCAAGTCAGCCAATGCAGCTTGGCTACGTGCTTCCGAAGGGTTTGACTGATTGTGATTCAGAATAGCAAACAAAGACAATGCCACATTATCAAAGATTTGCTGGTCAATCTCATCTGGTACATTAGACATGAGCACATCGGTCCGCTGCTGTTCATCAACAGTCTTGGCTGCTGCCGCCACTGCTGTGTCAAGAGAGTTTTCCAGTCCATCCTTGTACACAACATCGTATCTATCAGCCATACAAGTCGAGATGTCTTCAAGATGATGTACGTCAGAATAATTTCAAGTCTTTATGATGTGAATTCTAGACTTACCTTCCGAGATATTGGTTTCAGATACCACAATAGGGGTATCCACAATGGATACATCGTGTATACCAACAAAGGCAGCCAGACTGGTGGCTCGTTTCTTAGCCACAATGAGATCATATGTGATCTCCTCATTTGTGGGAAAGTAACGGAGAAGATCAATGTGGTCTGAGTTTTTTTCATCTGAAAACGCAAACTCATAACCTGTAGTGTGAAATCAGGTTAGTCTAGTCAAGTTGCTTGTGATTCAAATGCAAAAATAGTCTTACCAGCATGCAAATGTTCGGACTTTGATATCTTGACGATGCCACTCATGACACTTTTGACCACTGCGTGGAGCTTGGGGACCATCTGTCTGGCGTCGAGAACAGTAAAGTTGGGTGATAAAACACGCATCCATCCAAATGCATGCTCAATTGGCTCAGTTCCGTGTTTCCAGGGCATTAGAGGTACATCAGGGTAGTATTTTCGATGTGAAATGATGAGACCAAGTAAACGGCTAGCCATACACTACACCAAATGTAATCTTTACCGGGTGGTAAAGAAAACTACTGACATAGCAGTGATTTTGGTTCTTCTTGACGCTTGATGAGGTAGTTTCTCCAAATACAAAGGAAGAACTCCGCTGTCCAACTTGAACGAATACGTTCTCGATGTCCTATAGTTTGATTGAGCCATGCGTCTACCATCTCTCCAAACACAAACAGATAAACTGCTAAACCAGTGCACTCTTCGTGATTGAGAGCTGCTTCAAGTGTCTTTGCTGAGAACATACGGTATGCACGTCCATCGTCCTGACGGTCGCTGTCAAACACATCACGCTTATAGAGAGGGCTAGTTGTATCTTCAAGTAATACAGCCAACTGCTGGATGTCAACATGGAAACGGCCAAAGGAGATCACACGAGCACCAGAGAGTGGCTGATTTGCTGCTGTCTTCCGTGCATGTTTCGGATCTTGAATCATCAAAATTGGTCGATGTTCACTGCCAAAGAGAGGTACCTTCACATAGACCTCTAGCTCTTCGTTGATATAGGTCAGATAAGCGGTTGTAGATTCCATGAGTTGCTCTTGTGCAGCCAACTCTGTAGCTGCTCCGTCTGATCCAAGTGAAAGAAGGTTGATGCCAGCTTTTTGGCATTGTTCAATAAATTCAAGACTCTGAGCGGCCAGGTCTTTGGCTGTATCTTTGCTCCGGCTGGCTATTATTGCAACTACATAGGTTGACATGTTGGGTAAGGGGATTTGAATTGTATAAGCTCGAATCTGATGAAGATTAATTGTGAGTTAGTCTACTCATTAAGAAAGAGTGAAGAAAATTAGAGAAGTGAACAGGCATACCTTTGAGCACAGTTGATTGTTTGTGACCACGGACTTCACCAAGCGCTCAATATCATCACCATCACTGAAAGACATATCACCGCCTTGTGCTCCTACCAAGTGACCATTGTAGTGTCGCATTGCCTTTACACAAACTGTCTCATCAGTTGCAGCAGCAACTGGGCCAGTATACTCGAGTTCTTCAAGTATCTTTGCTAGTTTCTCAAAATTATCTGGGTGCAGACCATCTTTAAGATGCATACCTTGGACAAGTCGGATTTGCCGCATGCTACGTGCCCCACGACCTGCAAAGTTGTCGTTGAAAAACCTAAGAGCTCGAGGGCTGATGGCGGCTAGAGTTGTGAGAAAGTTGTCAAAGTATACATCGAATCGACGGCCACACATTGATTTTCCATTTGATTCACGTTCAGCCCGCACACCCACTGCCATCATCAGTCCACGTACAGACTCTTGATTCTTGAATAATCCAGCTTTTCCATATACACCAATTGCTTTCCAGAATGCTTCATCACCTTCTTTTGTCGATTTCTCCAATGACGTCTGGAGTACTTGAATTTCAGAATATTTGATTAGAATTGCTTGAAATTGGTCTCCGGTCATCAATACTTTTGGAATGTACTTGATTGTATCTTCAGTTGTGTATTGTGTATTGATAGCAAAAATCACACTTCGAACCTTCTTCAAAGCTTCACAATTCTCACAGATTGGAAACTCCACCTTTGAAGTAGTGACAACTGTTCGGGTACATTCAACTGAGTGGATTGCTGCCTGCGCCCCGTGTCGCTTGATCATCCAGGTCGCTTCGGCTTCTAGGGTCGAATGGAGTTGTTGGCGTTGTTCATCCGACAGTGTAATCTCGTGAGTAGTTCCAAAAAGTCGAAGACAGACTTTCCAACGCTTTGCCCCGTGGTAAGGTGTTGGTGAATGCTTGATACAGTTGGCAATGGTAGTCTTGCCTCGTGGTCGCTTCCAGTTTTTGTCGTGTAGACCGGAACATGGCTTTGTTACAGCATTCTTTTTACTCGTCGTTGTCACCCAAGAGGAGAGGCTGGAGTTATTGCAGACTAGCTTTGTTTGATTCTTAAATCTGCCTAACTCACAAATAAAGCTGATTAGTTTACATGTAAATTCCCTGTCCATTTTAAGACATATATAACTAGGACGTACTGCTGGCCCATTGTGCAATGGCAGCTTCCACGCGTCCCTTTGACATCTTAACCTGGTTTCCACAATGACAATCGAGTGTTTTGTGTGAAACTGTTTGATTTATTTTACAAAGAGTACAAGGAGTACCCGGCTTAGACAAGGGACATTATGTAATTGCATCCTGTTGAGGTGTCTTCCCTGTGTGTTGTTTTGGATGGTTCGTAGTGGTACTGCTAGAAAGGTCCATGATTTTGTCTGTTTCAGCGTCGCTTTCAATGACAATGGTATCGTCTACATCGTCAATGACAATTACTTCGATTATATCCTGAGATGTGCCTATTGCTGAGTCAAATGTTCTTTTGGCCATTGTTATGTATAGAAATGTTTATATATTAAGGCTTTGAAGAAATTCAGGTGACGCTTTAGATTGTTCACAAAGGATTGAACCGGACAAGATCATGAAAAGAACCTCCCAGTCTTGGAATAATTTAAAAATTAGCCCCAACACGATCTCACACCTCTCAAAGGGTTAATACGTAAAATCTCCTAATCTCTCAATAGCTCTCCATAGCTCTCCATAGCTCTCAATAGCTCTCAATACATATTTACATTCTAATAGACTAAATGTCACAAAAGTTCACGACAGGTCTTGGAAAGCCTATGTAGATGCTTAGCAAGCTCTGTTGCCGACCGTCCTACAAAGGTCGGCTCAGAGTAGCTCAGAGCTCAGAATCCGACCTTTTTCGTCAGTGACATTTTTGGAAATGTCCCAAATTCCAACCTTTTTGGTCAGTGACATCTGCCCAAAATTTGGTCAAAATCCGACCTTTTTCGTCAGTGACCTCTGCAGGCGCATTCCAGGGTCCTAGGTGTACATTGAATGTTTGTTGCTCAAAAAGTCAAAAAAATCTTGCAAAATATGACTTGTGAGGTCAAAAGGTACTGCTCCAGAGCGTCTGGGTGCTCTGCGTGCAAAAGACCGGCTTCCAGTCGATGATACAGCACACTGTATGCTAGACTCACATGTCAACCGGTACAGGGGCCACAGGTGGCCACAAGATGATTCCCATTGAGCACAAGGTCAACAAGTATGTCACTGCTCCTCAAGAAGACAAGCAATGTGATGTCCTTCATTACTGGAGTTTGAATCAACATCACTGGCCTAATCTAGCACATGTGGCAAAAGCTATGCTTGCTGTGCTTGCCACTAGTGCGCCATCTGAAAGATGTTTCTCTGCCGCTTTGAAAATTATGACTTTTACTTCACAAAATCTTGAGGCTCAAGTGTTTCTCAAAAGTTAAGCCAAACATTTCTCTTAATTTCTCCTTTTTCTTTTCAAGTAGTTATGTTGAGACTTTATACTTATATGAATAGTAGATACATGTGCTTTTCTTGCCCTTCTTAAGTAGTTACATCATGACTCAATGTTTGATCAAATAGTAGATACACTTTCTCAGAAGTTGTAGGCTCTAACTTGTCTTACTATTCTTAAGTAATTATATTACAACTTTATACTCAATAAGTAGATACAAGTGAATCTGAAATATATGCCATTACCATTATGCCCCTTCTTTGCCTCATTCTGTGCCCAAACTTGAGCCTAGCCCCACCAAGCCCTGACCCCCTTAATTCAGGGTGTGCCTTGGTGAGCCCCTGTTGATACCTGGATGGCAACAGGGCCTCCCAGGGCCGGAGGTGGTCCTTTGAAGCAAGAATGCATATAAGAACAATATACAACCAACATATCAGGATCTCATCGTCACGGTACAAGTCATGTTGAGGTCATAAAGAGTAGATATTATCTGCCCAAAGGGAATACACTCCATCTGATGTATCTTACTTACAGAATTCCATAAAGTTGAGAAGTAAATCTTTTTCCATCTCATTTGATTATACCTTACATAACAATGATTTTGGTAATTTTTCAATCATATGACAAGCCTGCCCTTGCATATGCAATTCTGGTGTTTGAAACCATAATCAATTATATCCTAGGTGAATGATTATGCATGCATGGGTGTAAATTTCAAAGCCATAAATTGATGTGCCAAAAAGGGGTTTGACAAGACTTGTTTTGACAAGTCGGGATGAAACTTGATAGTGTAGATACCTCTTCACAAAGAGGTAGGGAAAAACCACATCACGTTCACCTTCCCTTGAAAAGCAGCCATTTTCTTAGCAAACAACTGCTGGTTGAGCTCGCAATTTTGATTTGGCTGGTAGTTGCACAGAATTCCTATCATGACGGGTCTTGAAAGATTACATTGCTCTCAGCTACTTGTGACCCTCCACTAGTTCTTACAATTCAAGTCCTACTTTCTTAGAGCACCCACTATGGTGAGGGTGATTTATTGTAGATTTTGCATTCCTGAGCGTGAAATTTAATCATGTGTGTTTTACCAAAGTTGGTAAACACATGAAATCCACTATGGGATGATGTAATTACACATGATTTACCAACAATAAATCACTGTGAAGCAACCTGATTCACAGTGGTATGATTTTGAAAGGATATATCTTATTTCTCATAACTTTCATCCAAAAAACATCCATCAAATGCTTGCTCCGAGTTCTTTAAAAAACCAATCAATGCCCTTTTGGAGTCTTCAAATCACAATGATGAACAGCAGCATTATGTCCAAATGGTCTTTGACTTCTTGTTTGATAAACCTCACTGTCACACACCTCCTCCACCTCCTCACGCTCGCATCCAAAAAGATCAAGATGCTCAAGTTGCTCAAGTTCAAGCGTAAATTTCAAACGAGTGTACATCTTTATTAAAAAATGATTGAAGATTTACAAATTTATAATTGATTCGGGGTTCAAAAGGCAGATGTGAAGTTCAAACTTTGAAGTTGAGGTTGGAAGTTTTGAACTTGAAGTTTGAGATTTGAGGAATGTAGTTGAGGTTTTGAAGTGTGGAAAACTGCAGTTTCAACTTGATTTCCTATGATAAATCAAGTTGTAGGCTTGCGTAGATCTGAGCACCTGTGGCACTTCTTTTGAATGACATAACAGCGGACCATACAGTGTGCGGTACCGTCGACTGTCAAGCCGGATCTTCGCGCTAGATCACTTCAGATGGGCTAGACCAGCATATCATCAACTTTACAAAGTCATTACTCGTGATCCTGAAGACTTCAAAACATCAAACATGGTATAAAACTCCTTTTTACCACACAACACACCATCCAAGATCAAAAAAAAAAAAAAACATATGTATTTTCCAAAAAAAATTTGGAATACAAGTCCAACTTCACACAACTTCACACATTCACAATTACAAACTCACACAGTACACTAAAATCACAAACAGTATGACCTCCTCACAGATTTCACAACTCACAACTCACAGCTCACAACTCACAAATCGAACCTCACAACTCACATATACTACCAGTAATAGATACTACAGATACAACATACACTTCACAATCACTTAACCTACCACTCACAACTCACAACTCACAACTCACAACTCACAACTCACAACTCACACCTCACAACTCACAACTCACAGCTCACAGCTCACAACTCACAAATCACAAATCACATATACTACTAGTAATACATATAAACTCACATATCACAGTTCGGTCACAACTCACAACTCACTCCAGAGAAGTCACAACTCACAACTCACAAGCTCAACTCATCAACAATCGACCACAAAACCCTTACTTCCCAAAATCACTAACATCATTCATCCAATTAGCATGGAGTGGATTGATTAATCAAATTCAAATAACTACAAATAACTAAACACATTAAAGCTGATATCACCTGAACAATCAAACTAATCGCATTCTATCCAATGGTGCCTCAATTTGATCAACTTCATCAAAATCTGCCCGTATCACCATTGCTTCTACAATTTCTTCCCAGCGCACCTTATTCCTTTCCACAAGATCCCCCCATGCCATCTGAAGCTCGGCCTCCTCTATTATAGACAAAGCTGAGTATTTCATTGACTTCAAACGCAAACTTTCCAGCCGACAATTCCATTTCATCCATAAGCGAGTGTACCTTTGATTAACATTTGAGAGCAGGGATTTCAGGACTTCTTTGCACTCTTCTAGATTTGCACCAGGATTGATCTTTTTCGAACTTATGAGATCTGTCATCCATCTCTTTTCTTCTGTCCCAAGTAAATCATCTGCTTGTTTCCAATAATCAGTATTTCATCAATCACAAACAACATTGCATTTGAAAACATTGACTTACCCTCGGTAAAAACAGTTGTACGTAGACGTGTTACCTTGTCATCCATGTTGACCGCCCACTTAATCGATTGCCGGCACTCCCGAGCAATCCTACGAAGCTCATCTTCCGAGTGAGTCATCTCAAGATAGGATGTGATCCCTTCTTGAGTCTTTGCATCGGGTCGCCCAAGCTTCATCAGGGTGAGTTTAGCCCGGCCAAAAATCCCAGAAGCTATCGGTGATTGGCAATCTCTTGACTTCTTCAAATGTGTGGGCTTTCAATAGCATCATCAGGGGAAAGCTCGATTATAGGGCTGTGACCTGTCGATCAAAAGTCCGGAGCTTCTTTTGAAGCTCTGACCTCTTACTTTGCTCAAGTCTTTTGTGTCTCTGTAGCTCACGAGTACCTAGGTAAACGGTTGATCCAGTTGTTAACCTCAAGCAAGCTCCACAGATCACAGAAATCACAAATTGCAGCGCACCATGCCTCTCATTAGCCTGATTCTCCGCTTCCACTAACCCAACCTTTGCCTCATATAACTTACCTTTAGTGACCCGCAAACGTATCAGCATCTTCCCCTTCGCAGCTGATGTAGATATAGGATGATTATTGTCTCAATGTATTTGCCATGATCCATAGTTTAAATATGGCATATCCCAACTCACTTGAAGCACCAGGTACATTTCGGAACTGTTCACCACCAAGCTCATCAGCGAGTAGACCGATCTCCTCTTCTAACTGGACCATTGTATCTGGAAGCTGTACAATTTCCTCGTCCTCAGCTTCAGTTCGATTTCGCCTCCTGATTCGTCTCAGTGACCGCAACTGCAGTCTAAACAAGGCAGCCATCTTTCAATCAGTACATTCAGTTGAATAAAAGAAGCAAATTATATAACTCACTGGGCTTCTTGAAGTGATTCCTCAATGGAAATCAGGTGAGCAAGTTTGTTCGTCAGATCTCCAATTCCTTCGTTTACTATGAGTTCTAGCTGACATTTTCTTTGACGTTCCCATTGAGCTAAAAAGTACTCTTGTGTATACTGAGGATCTATGTACAACCTTTGAAGAGTTGCCTTGCTCGATTGGTTTAATTTTTCCATTTCTTTGAGACGTCTAATCATGGAATCAACTGAACAAATGAAGATGGAGGTTAACTAATTATGGATGGTTAGAATATAGTCAGTCACAAACCAGCTTTAGTTCGCAATCCCTCATTATGATAGAGTCCTTTGAGATTCAAGCAGCATAGTCGATGCTCTTTTGTCGAATATCTAAGAGCAGCTACAAGATCAGAGAAAGCAGACCATATCCTCTCCAAACCCTCACCATCCGACATTCCCCAGTCTTCATTCAATCGAGGGTTGTACAAGATCTGACAGGATCTTTCATGAGCATAAGAATGCCATGCCCCAGTACCTATCTTTAATTCACCTGCCCTTCTCTTCTCTTCAAACAGCTTTCTCTGTGGATTGATAAAATCAGATATCTACAATCAATACCCCTTACACCAATAGAACCACGTATGAAATTGTATTGGACACATACCTTCCTTAATGCCTTTGTCAAATTACATCCTATATCGTAAAGAACAGCCAATTTTTGCTGGTCACCATTGGCTTCTTCAAGTTGTTTAAACATCCAATTGATTGTGGCAACAGGGAAATGACCACTAACATTATGACCAAAACACAGTTCAATATATAGATTCATCTAATATAGTCAGGTATATTCTCACCGTTCACCACTTTGTACAATATTAATGAATTTCAGAACATGGTCATGTCGGCATGCCATTCCAAAAAGGCCAGTTTCATCGCACCCACTCCATGTTTGTGCGCCTCTCACATCATCTGCTGCAGTGTGACGCTCACTACATGGGTGCTGAAACCAATCAGATTGCAGAGTCAAGAATAGTGCATTAAATATGTTATTAAAATATAATATACAACTGACCACTAACTCCTCAGTCTTATCCTTCACATCATTTCGACGGACCCCAATTTTTTCTTCCCATTTGTTTACATATTTGGAAGTGAGGAAGAGTGATGGAGTAATTGTGCTTTCAGGCCTCCAACCCGCACTTGCTGCCATGTGACGCCGATGTTGAAAGTTTCCATCCAGTGAAACTATGACATCGGGCTCAGCTGGGCGTTTACCTTGGACTGCAGGGCCAAAACAGCGAGGACAATTTGATGCAAGTTTTTCGATTGCAGAAAGCTTGAGAGCCAGAGTCTCCAGTTCAGCTTCTCGCCGGATCATCTCACGATAGACATCAACTGCACAGGAGAATCGCTTCCGCCACTCGCGAGGCTGCATGACATAACATTCAGTAAGTAAAATATAAATATATTTTTATAATCGAATTCCAGGAATCAACTCTTACTTGGTTTCCACTCGGAACAAGGATCAAGGTATTAAACGCATCCAAAAACTCGTCGACTGCCTGGCAGAATGGCGCAATTGTATTACTACACCATTTCCATAATAACTGATAGAATCGAATAAGTCTAATTGAGAAAGCAGTGCAAGGATATTTTGCTGTTCCCCCAATCAAGCCCATCTTCACCAGCCGCACAGCATCCGACTGACATGCACAGAAATTCACCATGATCTGCTTTCGATCTGTTTGTTCAGAAAACCTTATCAACCTAGATAAAGACAAAATGCAAGAATAAGAGGAAAGAAACAACCTACACAAGATATCAAAGACCACAATTTTCTTCGGAGTTCGAACCATGGTACCTGTGCAATGGCAGGGTTCCTTCCAGTCATAGTCCCATAGATCCGTGTGACCCCATTGAAAGGTCTTCTTAGATGACAAGCTGAATTCAATGAAGAGAGAAGGCATAACCTCTTGCCACTGCTTCTGCTCCCGAAGTGTCCGTTCCTCGTAAGACTCTGCTTCATTAAACATTCTTCCATCATATTCACTGTCGTCATCTTCTGAAAAAGGATTGACTCCAAAGTTGGACTGATCAAGGTCTCTGTACAGAACTTGAGGAGCACCATCGTCAATGTGATGATTGAGTTCATGATTGGTAGGTTCGACATCAAGCATTAAGCCTTCAATGATTGATGTAGCTGCTCGATCCTCTTGGGCTTCAAGCATAGCTCGTCTTTGAGTAATGTCCGATTTGGCTTATCGTTTTCCTGGCTTCCGATAGGGACGTATTTTGATATTTTGACCTGGCAATTACATGTCGAAAAACGTACGTAGTTGAAAGGAGGTGATATGCTTGAAGGGGAACTCTCTGGGGTCAAGATGATGGGACGCACATGTGCAATCAC